CCCCCCCCCCCCCCCCCGTTAAGCAATTTCAGCTGATGGAAACAAGGAAGTGGCCCTTTTCTGTTGCAGCCAGAAGACCAGCATTACCCTCCCCTGGAGATGCATCTGACCCCCCACCCTGAAGACCCAGCTCTCCCCTGGCCTTGGGACAAACTGAGCAGTGGGTCCTATCTCAAAATGGATGGTTTTTCTTTCTGTGGGGTTCTTACTTGTATTTTTTGAGTAATGGCTTTATTATTCTAGGCTCCCCAGAGTCATTGTGGAGTTGGGGGTCAATTTATCACCTATCAATTTAGGTGGCCCTACTGAAGTCTTCTCTCTTTAACTCCTCAGTATGAATACTGGCTCTTTTCTTTTGCTTTTCCTCTTCCCATTTTATTTTTTTTAAAAAACCCTGTTTTAATTATTGTATGCTAATATTTTTTACCATCATAAACTACTTTCTCATTGCAGCTGTATGAGAAATGGCGTATCATCATATTGAATCAACCATTATCCCATGATTTCATGCCTTTGGAAGATCTTTCAGCAACTGCTGAAGCCATAAAGCCAGCTGGGTGACTTTGGGCCAGTCACTCGCCACCCAACCCACCTCACAGGGTTGTTGTGGGAAAAAATAGGAGGTATTAGGTATGTTTGCTGCCTTGGGATTGATTGATTGACTGATTTATAGAGATATATATAAAAAGCAGGATAAAAACCTAATAATAACAACTGTGGTGGGAGCATTCAGCCACCTTTGATCTTGGGGCCAAGGGCACACTTCTTCGCCCTGCCCACAACATCCCTTTCCCAACATTCAAAGGTTTCTTCACTGATGATGTCACCCCACAGCCAGACTGTAGCAGCTGGGAGCAGCCATGGGGCCCCCAGGGGAGAGCCCTCCCCATCCCTTGCACACAAGCACTCGTGGGCTGCTGCGCCCGGCCACGAAGTCAGGACGTGATCCAGTAGTCATCTGGTAGACTGCTGGCCACGTCTCAGCTGACAAGTCAGCAGCGTCCCCTGAGACGGCCAACTGGAGCGAGGCCAGCCTCTGTCCCTCTGCCCGTCCTGGAACCATGAGGGTGTGGCACAGCTTTGCCGAGAGGAGTGGGAAAACAGCTGGAAATTTCGGGGGGAAGTTAAGGATGGCCCCTTCACTCCTGCCCTCAGGGCTCCCCCCCAGCTGTCCTTGGGGATCAGCCCTCAGCGAGCTAAAGGAAGGGAAGACGGTGTTGCCAAAGGCCTATTTCTGCCCAGCTCTGGAGTTTTGAATCATTTAGTCTAATTAGCTGAAGCTAATGTGGGGCTTGTTTGGTGTGATATTACTAAATCTGTTCTTGTTAGCACCATCAGTGGGCACAAAACAGAGGTGGGCAGACTTCAGGCTTGTTGGATCTGAAGTCTGGTGCTAGATCCCCCATCTCCACTGCCAGAGTCTTAGTCGCTCCGAGGCGATGCATACACTGGAAGCTCAAGTGGAGGAATGGATATCTTTGCGCCCAGGAATTTGTTTTAGTTACCACTCCTCATTCCCCCTACGCAACACATCTGCTATTTCAGGGGCTTTGGATTGTTAAAGTCAAAGCGGCTGCGATGTTAAAAATCTGGCATTTGGAACTGCTTTCCAGACAATGTCAAGGTGGGCCAGAAGACCCCAACCTTTTTTCGGTTCTTTCCCCTTTCAAAGACAAGCCAAGGAGAAAGGCCTGATTTTTTTGTTAGTCTGCTGTTCCCCGCTCAGCACATAGCTCTGACCTGCCTGGCTTGTCCTTTCAGTCTCTTTTCCCTTCACTTTTGAGACAATGCTCTTTTTGTGGTCAAAGACGATCATGTTGCGCCCTGCGGGCAGTTTCTCCACTTGCAGGTGGGCTGAATGTCACTGTTTCCTTGGTTCCACCACAGTTACGTCATGCCCCGCATCCTGATCCCAACAGGCAGATCACATGACCTTACAATCAAATCATGATTAATTCTAGAGTTGCCTCCCCTCAACCTGGTTCTGACCAGTCATTTAGGGAATCTAGAAATATTATTTCTTCATCACATGGAGCATCAACGACCACATGAGCATAATAAAGTCCCCCTTTATTACAAGAAATTCTTCCTTTGCACATGGCCTGATTTCTTTCACCACCTCCAAAATACACTCAACATTTTGATCAGGTGGGCAATAGCAAACTCATATTTTAAATTTGTAGCTACACTTATTTATTTATTTGGAACATTCATACAACTACCCAATTCAAACAACATGACTCTGGATGGTGTACAAACTCATGAAACAAAAATATAAATATCATACACTGCTAAAGCAAACCAAAACAATGAACTGAAATGCATTATATCTCACCAGCTGGGAACTCTGCTCATCCTGACCCAAGCGCCTGGGGACACAGCCGCGTCTTAACTGCCTTTCTAAAGGCCTGCGGGGGGGGGGGGGGGG